TTTTTTTTTTTGCGGAACCAGGGATTGAACTCAGGCCTTTGCACTTGCCAGGCAAGCACTTATTCTACTGAGCTAACTCCCCGGCCCCCTACATTCTCAATCTTAGTTTAGCTTTTTAATAACCTGGCCAACTACTTTCTGACCACTGTACACTCTTACCAACAAAGTGTGAGATTTTAGTTTGTATCTGCCCCAACATTTGTTGCTGTCTTTTTCATTCTATCCATCATGGTAGGGGTAAAGTTTTAACGTGATTTCCCTGATGCTTAATGATGTTGAGTATTTGGTCAGTGTGCTTATCTGCCATTCTCTACATCCTCTTAGAGAACTATCACATTCTTCTTTAGTTTTTAAGTTGGGTTTTATTGTGGGATTGTATATGTGCTCAATACTAGACAATTTCCAGATATATGGTTTCAAATTTCCTCTTATATTCTTTGGATTTCCTCACTTTCTTTTTGGAGGGGGGAGACTGAGTTAATACCCTAGCCCTTTTATAAAATTTTTATTATTTTATATTTATGGCACTAGGGACTGAACCCAGGGCCTTCTCACTGAACTACATTCCCAGCCTTTTTTACTTTTTATTTTTGAGATAGGGACTAAGTCCCAAATTGCCCAGGCAGGGCTTGAACTTGAAACTCTCCTAAAGCACTGGGATTATAAGTGTATACTACCATGTCTAGCTTATTTTAAGTTTTGGAGGCAAAATCTTACAAAGTTGCAGGCTTGCTTTACAGTTTTTAAATCCTACCTCTACCTTCCATTACTTTTTTTAAAATTTTGACTGGCTCAGCCTGCCCTGAGTGTGGGGCTGATATGATGTGGTACCAGGAATCCAACTATGGTCCCCAGCACTTGCCTAAGCAAGCACTTTGAACTGCTGAACCATTTTGCCAATCCATTCCTTCGCTTTTTTTTTTTTTTTTTTTGTATTTTTTAGTAAGGATCTACAGGGTCTCCTACATAGATTGAACTCACAGTGATCCACCTGTGTTCAGCCTCCAGTCTCAGCTGCCTGGGGGTGGGGCCTGTACAGCAGGCCTGGGATGGAACCCCCAGCCCATGTCTGCCTAAGCAGGCATTTTAATCTGCTGAGCTATTTGGCTGGCCCTCCCCTCACTTTCTTGATACACAAAAGTTTTTGATTTTGATGAAGGGAAGACTGATTTTTATGTTCCTTCATGGACTGTGCTTTTAGAATGCATCACCATACCCCAATGTCTCTGTGACTTTGAAGGTTTTAAGTACCTTGTCCTTTATCACTGGTAATTTTTTTTTTTTTTGCTTTCAATTATGTCAGTTTTTGTTTCATGTAGTTTGGGCTTTTTGTTAGGTCTATGTATGCTTATCTTTTTTTTGGGTCTTTTTGAGACTGGATTTCCTTCTGCAGTTCACACTGGCCTTGAACTCACTTTGTAGCTCAGACTGACCTCTAACTCATGACAGTCCTCCTACCTTAGCCTCCTGAGTGCTGGGATTACAGAGGTGTACCATCACACTCAGCTTATTGTATCTTCTTTATGAACTGATATTTTATTTATTTTTTTTAAATTTTATTTTTGTGTGTGTGTGCCCCAGGGGGCAGGGCTGGCTGGCATGTTGTGCTGGGGGATTGAACCGCGGTCCCTGTGCTTTGTTAGGCTTGTTCTAAGTAGGTGCTTTAGACCACTGAGCCATCTCACCAGCCCTGAACTGATATTTTAAATATAAAATGTTTATCTCTAGTAAAACTTTTTATCTTGAAGTCTATTTTGTCTAGTACACTCACCATTTAATTTATGATTGTTGTTTGCATATGATACATTTTTCCTTCATTTTCAATTATCTCAATTATCTGAGTCTAAAGCATTTTTATAGTTGGATCTTATTTTATATCTAGTATGGCACCAATGCATACACTGACTAAAATCATTATTTTGAATGACACACATAACTGCAAGGTGGCACAGCGACATTCTTCAGTCAAAATTTTGGCAATCAACACCATGGCAAATGCAGCCATATTTTCTCATTAAATTTAGTAACTTCTGGGGCTGGTGAGATGGCTCAGTGGTCTAAAGCACCT